ACGTGGTTTGTGTTAACCAATCAGATGTAACTGCGTATTCGTGACGTCACTTCCAGCTGTAGCGCTAATCGATCTGTAAGCGATCTCACGCGCAGAAGTGTGAAGCATGGTGAGGTAGTGGAGAAGGGGGAGGAGAGAAGCTGGTGGAGAAGGTGGAAGGGGAGAAGGGAGAAGGTGGTGGAGAAAGAGGAGGGGAGAAGCTGGTGGAGAAAGAGAAGGGGGAGAAGGGAGAAGGTGGTGGAGGAGGGGAAGAAGCTGGTGGAGAAGGAGGAGGGGAGAAGCTGGTGGAGAAGGAGGCAGGGGAGAAGGGAGCTGGTGGAGGAGGAGGGGGAGAAGAAAGAAGGGGATAAGAATCGAGGGGGAGAAGGGAGCTGGTGGAGGAGGAGGGGGAGAAGGGAGAAGGTGGTGGAGGAGGGGGAAAAGCTGGTGGAGACGGATAAGTTCTCTTCATTTTAAATGCTTAATGTTCGCAAAATAATATTCCTTTCGGGAGAAATAGCGCATGTGCGAGCACCGTTTCAAGCGTGCAATACGGACTGAAGAAAACTGCATAATATAGCTTGCTGGAGGTGAGAGGGGTGGGGGACTGATGACAGGCGACAGAGAAGCCAGCTGAGTGGGCGCTGGCAGAAGAAGCAGACTAAGTGCGGGACAAGGGAGGCAACGGGGAGGACGGGGGGGATAAAGTAGGAGTTTTGCTCCCCCTCCTAGCTAGGGCCCTCTCCTAATTATAAGCACAGGACCACAGGTGCACGCCCTAGCTTGCAGGGTACCACCGACAGAGCGTTTCTGGCTTCAGTATCCCAGATACATGTACGTGTATATATTCGTCGAAATACTCGTCATTTTAATAGGTAGTGGGCATATGGGACCCAGGATATGACTCCCTACTACATTGGCAAATATTTTAGAAATTAGTCTATGCTGAATAGGCTAAAATCTGGGTTCGCGCATGCGCAGTAGCTGACTGAATGATTCATATTTTGATTCAATGAAAGTGTCAATGACACTGTAGCTCATGATCACCACAAAAAATGACACTCTATGGACGGATAACACGATGGATAGGTCGGCCACTGTATCAGTCTTAGGCTGGGTCTCCTATCTTCCTGATCCAGGTTCTACGGTTTGGCATGTTACATGTTTATGTGCGAGGTATAGTCGCCTTAAGGGTAGTGTCAGGGTGTTGCGTCGATAGATAACAACAAGTGCCGCGGAGCGACAGCGCTCATCTAACGTCTACTGCGGTGACTCTGTGGTGGAGTGGTGGGATTCTAGTAAACCCTGTTAGTCCCAAATGTGTTCACATA